TTTGGGATTCGCGTTTTATGCACAAGGCAAACATAAAATGCGCGCATGAAGAGAGCTTAACCTTGCGCCACCACCCTCCCCCCACCCCCTGGCAGGATTCACCGCCTTCTGAAAGGCAAGTGGGGTTTGAGCCTGAAGTGGTTTCAGTAGCTGATGCATTCACATTTGAGCACATTGTTGACAATTGAAATGTTTTGTGTGTGCGCTCGTGTTTGAGCTGCTTAAGGAAGTGGGGGGGGGTACAGAGGCGTCGTTTTAAGGGGGGGGTTATAAGAAATAAAACTTAATTAATTAATTAATAAATGCATAAATTTATAATAAGTACAGAGCTAATAAAACTTTACTTCCTTCAGTTCCTGGGAAGCATATTTCGAAGTTGTATAAATAAGAGGAAGCTTTACCTTTCAAATAAATTATTAAAAATATATAAAAAGCTTATCTTTAGCTTCCATAAAAGATTAATATATTAAAATTCTATAACTTTATTAATTAATTACCTGAATATCCCCTTCGAATCTCTGCTTATAGCTTAACAGACCCCCCTTAGCCCCTGTCCCTGTCCCTGTCTTTGTGTGCCAGCTGTTCCTCCTGTGTGTGACCTTCTACCCCTTGTATCCCCCCCTAAAAAAAATCCCCCTTGAATAAGACTCCCCCGTCCCTCCCACCCTGACAACCATCCCCTTGCTTGCTTGTGCAAAAATAATCGCATTTCCGATTCGCGATTTGTGATTAGCGTGCGATAAACATTCACCTTCATCCTTTGTGCGATTTCTTTATGTTTGCCACCGATTTCCCTCGAAGCGGGTATATCCCAGACGTACCTGAGACCCCAACCCCAACCCTCTTTCTGCCCCTACTCACTCCACACCTACACTGCTTGCTCGAGCATAAATATTACGCGTTGATTTTAACTGAATTGGAAACTTTTATTTATTTACTTTTCTTTTGGCTGGCTTTTTGTTCGATTTTTGTTTATGCGGCGATAAAAGTGTTTCCGCTCACCGGCACAGCCCCACCCCCCACCCCCTTTGGGCACGATGACGACTTGAATTTTCAATTAAAAAAACTTTGCATGGAGAGTCGCAGAAGTGGGGACATTTTTGAATGGTTATTCATAAGCACGCTGCCGGGCCATGAATCAATGTTGAAAAGTCCAAAGTCCAGAAAGGGGTTTCGGGCTACAAGGGGAGGGGGTCAATGGGGGCGTTGGGTGTCTGGCCAAGTGACAGTCATTGTAGCAGAAATTATTCCACTGGAATGTTATCAGAACTCTCGTGAACTTTGGCCCCACAAAGGTTAAGGAGCTGCCGGCTATGAGAGCGTGAGTTTGCAGAAAATATCTTAAGCTGCAAGAGATTTTTCTCTTGAAATTAATACAGTTTTTGTTACAGGAGGTTGTATTTTTTAGGCTTTTTATACCCTTGCAGGGTATTATAATTTCAGTCAGAAGTTTGCAACGCAGTAAAGGAGACGTTTCCGACCCTATAAAGTATATATATTCTTGATCAGCATCAACAGCCGAGTCGATCTAGCCATGTCCGTCTGTCCGTCTGTCCGTCTGTCTGTCTGTCCGTCTGTCCGTCTGTCTGTCTGTCCGTCTGTCTGTCTGTCTGTTTCTACGCAAACTAGTCCCTCAGTTTTAAAGCTATCTGAATGAAACTTTGCATATAGTCTTCTATATGCTCTCACTGCTATATATGTCGGAACGGGCCGGATCGGACGACTATATCATATAGCTGCCATACAAATGTTCGATAAATTTTTAGAAAAAAAATTATAACTTGGCTGTTTTTCAATATTTTTGCATCATTTTTGAGATATAGCCATTTTATAATATTCCAGAATTTTGGTAAAAATTTTATGAAAATCGGTCGACTATATGATATAGCTGCCATAGGAACGATCGGGAAATTAATAGAAATAAAATTATAGCTTCGTTGTTTTTCAACGCATTTTTATTTACTCTGAGATATAAGTTTTTTTTATTATTCTAGAATTTTGGTATAAATTTCATAAAAATCGGACAACTATATCTTATAGCTGCCATAGAAGCGATCGGTAAATGTAAAAATATATAAAGCTGGGAATGTAAAACTGTAACTGTCAAACTGTAAACATAATAAGTATAGGTAAAATGTAATGAAACTCTGTTTTGTGAGTTTTTTCTGCATTTAAATCTATAATATAAACATCAAAACCAATCTGCAAGGGTATACAAACTTCGGCGTGCCGAAGTTAGCTTCCTTTCTTGTTTATATTATATTTTAATTATATTTTATTTTCTTAAAAATCCAGATTTTCTAACTTGTGTCCTCCGTGACTCACGCTGCCATTTCTAATCCTCTCCGCATAGTTTCGTGTTGCTGACGGAGGCGGCAACATTATCACCGGCAACATTATTCATTATCGCTTACCAGTGGGCCCTCCCCCTTCGCCCCTTTTTTGGTCATTTCAAGTCGGTGACATTGCAACAGATACTTCTGCTCTGCCTCAAAGTTGGCTTCCTGGCTTCCCTCCCCCCCTGCTGCTGCCCTAGGGCTCTCGAGGAGCTCAACTGCGCCCTCATCCTTGGGCGCTTTTGAGTCTCAGAGTGCCTGGACAAAGTTTTGCATGCTGCAGAAATAGGGGGAAAAAAAAAATAAAAAATACAATAAAATAATAGTAAAGGGAAAGGAAGTCAGGCTAAGGAAAGCTGAAAGATGTATACACTTGCAACTCAGTGGATTTTGGTTGGATTAAAATAAGGAAAACCTCACTGAAAGTGTAAATAACCATCCTTCGATCTTTACTGTGATAGTTTTTTATGATTTATATATAATTATATTTGTATATATGATTTCTTTACCATCTACAACTACTTACTTTCAATATTAAACCTTCTTTAAGTGTATCAAAAGAGTGAACGTCTAGGAAAAGCCCAGGAAAACGCATCTCGATGGGCAGAAAAACTTCCGTTTCGAGTTGTGGCCTGGAAATTGGCAACTCCAATCAAGCGGAAGGTTTCATAGGAATTCGTTGGCAGGTTTTTGAAATATACTTTTATAAATACAAAATGCATTTGGATGAATTTTAGCAAAATATAATCCATAAAACTATAGATTTTAAAAGCTTTTCACCATATATTTAAAAAGAGATATATTTATTTTGGGATTATATAATTCGGAATATTTCAGTAGTTAACTTATGGACTTCGATCTTAAGAATAAAATAGTAAGGATCCCAGATAAATAAATAATATTAAATATTAAATAAAAGGCTAAGATTACAAGAAGTCATAGCTAAAATTTCAAAAATTTTATAATCAAAGTAAAAGGTATTCAAACGCTAAAATCCAAAGTATATAATACTTTTTCCATAACACATACTTAATATAAGAAGTAGAACAAAAATATAAAAATAATAATAATAAAATAAATATTAATTTTTTAAACTAACAACAATCACAACTTAAACTTTTAATTAAAAAAAAAATCCAGCTAATTTTCCCGAAGTACCTCGAATGCGACTTCCTTGGACTCCTGCAATTATTGTGGCTGTTGACCGTGCAGCTGCAACATTTCAAATTTCGTATCCTGCGTGCGGACATATCGCCCTGGTTTTCCGCCACAACCTTTCCCCTCCCCATTTTCCTCTACCCATTTTCCCCTACCCATTTTCCCCCCTTCTGGCAGACAGACTTTCATGGCTGGCACAGTTTGAGCCTGGAATATTTTGCATTTATGCAGAAGGCAACACAAAAAGCGGGTCTCAAATGGAGCATAGAAGAAGCTGCCTAAGAAGGGGGCGCGCCAGCTGTCACGCCCACTAGGGGGTCAAAAAAAAGGAGCAACTTTTGTGCGGTTTTTGCAGTGACATTTTCGTAGATTTCGGGGGAAATCTGAAACCGAAAAGTTTCAAATTTCCCTATTTACATTTTCATATTTATTTATATTTATTATTTTTTTTTTCTGGAATTTATTTCCGGCAAGCAAGGAAAACGAAAGTTTCTAATCACGACTTGTATGCAAAACAACAACCTTATTAATTAACCATTCCGATACGCACCGGCCCGAGGGGTACCTATATATCACCGATCGCATCGGGTATTATTCTATCGATTCCCGCGTCTGGGGTTTTGCATCCGCCTCGGGTTTTCGCCGGAGCTCTTCTCGGGTAACGCCACCGCCAGAGATGCACCTATCTCAGGTGCTATCAGGTGATCAAGAGTGGCCAGAACTTGTTTCAACCGCAAAAAATAATAAATCAATACGTTTGTTTGTGCATTTTATCAGTAGGTGAATATCTGAGGTAAATAAATAATAAATATAAACAAACTTGCAGTAAATATTTAATTTTCCAATCATTTATTTTAATGATTTTAAATGTAAAAATGGGAAAAGTTTTGTACAAACTTGTTTAATAACTCTTAAAATTATTTACTAAAAATTTATTTAATGATTAAACGCTTTAAAGTATTTTCGGAAACTCATTTATAATTATAAAGAAACCTTCAAAAATGTTTAAAAAATTAAATATAAGTCTTAGAATGTTGTTTAAAGTGTTTAAGAGAATCTTTTCCGAAAGTTTTTAAAGAAATTTAATGTATTTAAATTACTTTTTCCTTTCAAAGTTTACATTTTAGACATTCTGTTCCCAAAATTCCAACCCCTAATATTTCCCTCATTTAATCTCCTTATCAAACTGCGTTGCATTGATATTTATAAATTCTTTTGGTATTTTTTATGGCCTGATAACTGAGCTGAAACAAAACAAAGAAAAAGAAACAAAAACAGAAAAATCAAACTGCAACGACTGCAACGTTGGCGAATAATTATTGGATTTTTATTGAGACGAGCGGGGTGCGAAACGGGTTTTCCCAGCAGCGGCAATCAATGAGAATATATATATATAAATGGTACACTACGCTCTATAATATGCGGGCTGGAAAAGCCAAGATCTGAGACCTGAGATCTCCCATCTCCGAGCAGGCTGAGGTCGCGGAGCGAGGCCGCCAATCGCCGGAGATCAGTTGATTGCCAGCCACCGGGGAGACAGCTTCGCCAGCGACTAGAGAATCAATCAGAGCGGAAAAACAAAAAGCACTAAAATTGGGAATTGCAATGCTGTACATCCTCTTTGTGGCATTTTTGGGCCTGGCCCAGGCCCAGCGTGTGGGCAGTAAGTATTTCTTGGAATTAAAAATGAAAAATTAAAGGGAATCATAACCAGTATTCAACACTTTTTAGAGGCCATGATGCACTTTGGCAACTGCAACTCGGCGGAGTATGGCCGTGGCACTTGCATCGAGAAGACCGACTGCGACTTTTATGCCGTGGACAAGCTGACGGACTTTGAGAGCAAGCGGCAGTGCTTCTCCCGCCAGCGACCCGATCTGGTAAGAATCAGGAAAAAATATGGTTATATAGTATATATTCTTCCAAACTTGTTTCCCCCCAAACGAGATCTTCTTCACTTGTTAGCTGGGCGTTCTCTAGTCAGGAAAACTTGTAGATGCAAATTTCAACCCTTAAGATATTGTATCTATAGGTTGTTCTAAGAGTTTCCGCTCATTGAGGTTTAGGTTGACTTACGTTGTAATGAAAGTAAAGCAGAGCTCTTGAAATCTACATATTGCTTGCCTTATCAGCATTTGTTCTGTATTTTTTTCTTGAAAAATCAGTTTCGTATATATTTTCAAGATCTCATATCAAAAGATATTGTTTTCTTGCAGGTCTGTTGCCCCCGTGAGACCAACTTTATACCCTCGTTTGGCGCCAGGATAAACAATGGCACTGGAGCCACACTCTCGCATCTGGGCACACCCCTCCGGCTGGAGCCTGCCCCAAACAACATGGATGCCTTGCCCCAGCATCCGCACTGTGGTACATCCTTCTTCTCGCGCGTCGTTGGTGGACGTGTGACCGACCTCTACGAGTTCCCCTGGACCACGCTCCTCGAGTACTCAGTGAAGGGCGGCGGTTTGGACTTTCCCTGCGGCGCCGCCTTCATTGCCCAGCGGTGGCTGCTCACCGCGGCACACTGCGTCGATGCCGAGATAGTGGGTTCGGGCAGGACTTTGACGGCGGCCCGACTGGGCGAGTGGAACCGCGACGAGGACCCCGATTGCGTGAGAAAAGTGGGTGGTGGGTATGAGTGCGCACCGAAGCATATCCGGGTGACCATCGACCGGATTCTGCCGCACGCCGGCTTCCAGCCCAAGAACCTAACCAACGACATTGCCCTGCTCCGGCTGTCGCGTCCGGTGGCCTGGCAACAGCTGGACAAGCAGGCCGTAGAGCCGGTATGCCTGCCGCCGCAGCGCGGAGCCCAGGCCAACCAGCTGGTGGGCTCCGCCGCCGACGTCTCCGGCTGGGGCAAAACCGAGTCCAGTGAGAACAGCAAGCTGAAGCGAAAGGCCACGGTGACCATTCAGGCGCTGGAGCCCTGCCAGGAGGCCTTTCGGTCAAAGGACGTACCGGTGGACGAGCGGCAGATATGCGCCGGCGGCACAGTGGGCGTGGACTCTTGCGGCGGCGACTCTGGCGGTCCACTGACCGTGGAGGCGAGCACGCCGCGTGGCGATCGGTTTGTCTACCTGGCCGGCATCGTCTCCTTTGGCCTGCCGGAGTGCGGCAAGTCGGAGTACTCGGCCGTCTATACGCGGGTCAGCAGCTACATGGACTGGATCGAGGAGACCATTCGCGCGAATAGCCGTTGATTTCATCTGTAATCCATGATTATTCCATTGTAAACATAATTATATCTTTTTTTTTTTTTAATAAATCAATTGAATAGAGGATTTAAATTTTTATTCATAACCCTTTCACCGTCTTTAGTTTCGAAGGACTTCTTCCTGGACCTTATTGATGCCTACTGGTCGGCGGTTCTGGCTGATCCTTCGGCACTTCCAGTTCCTCGGGCTTCTCCATCTCTGGGGGCGGCTGGGGCACAGTGCGTCGCTGCAGACCTTGAACTTCGTCCCGGATTTGCCGCAAGAGTTTTCCCATTTCGGACAGCAGCTGCAACACCTGCGCCAAGTGGGGACCCCGAGATGGCTGCAGGGTGGAGATGGTCCTGCCTTGCTTGAGGAGGCCATTGGATCCACGTGGCTTGCACATGATACTCTTCGGTATTTCAAGCGGTACAAAACTACAGTAGGTTATAATGGAAAAATTTGGAAATTATGGAAAATTTTGGAAAATGTTGTGGAAAGTTTAGGAAACCTGAAGTAGTGAAAACAATAAAGTCAAGGAGTATTAGTGTTAGAGACACAAGATCTGATAAAAAACTGTGAAAAGTAAATAGTAAATTAGACTAAGAAAGATTTGAGTGGTAGGGATTTCCCCTAGGGGAGGTTTTCCCTCTTCGCCGTTTCTTTTCTTACCCTGCCTTAAGGCGTCATATCGTCACTGACGTCACTGATTTCCGGCATTCAATTTAGACCAAAACATGTCCCCCACAATTCTATCGCCCAATCTTGATTTGTTCACAGATTAAGGCTGTTGGCTCATGTCACCGAAAAGTTTAAATTGATGAGGGCCCCTGAGATCACCACTCTCTCTCCATACACTGATAAAAAAAATAAAATCTTCTTTTGAGATTTTGCGCATTCTTAATTTAAAATCTTACTATAAGACCAAAAATTCTAGAAAGGAGATTTTTCAGGGTATATTTACGAACAAAATAATCTACTTTTAAGATTTGCACATTTTTTGGCATTCTTAAAAAAAAAATCTTAAAAAAAGACCAAATATTCTAATAAGAAGAAGAAAAAATCATAAAGTAATACCGAAAATGATTCATTTTAAGAAATAAAAATCGTAAATTAAGATTTTTGTTAATCTTAAAAATTCAGAAGAGACGGCTTCTAGTGTTGTCTCTTTTTTTCTCACACAAAAATGGAAGTCATAGTGCCGTCTCGCTCTTACGACCATTCTTAAAAAATCTATTTTTAGCTCAGAGGGGAGATACATTTTTTTTTTGTTTTCTCTGTCCTTCGAACTGTATGTATTCACGTTCCCGACATTAGTGTTTGATTTGCCTCAGTGGCCCAGTTGGTAAGCGGTCGGTCTGTGAATTTTGAGACATGGGTTCGGATCCCAGCCGGGAAAAAAAATGTAAGTAGCTTTTAATAAAATTTCTAATACAATAATCATTTCTAGCTCTATAATTACAGATTATAAAAATTCTTTCACAATAATGTTTAATTTAAAATGTTTGGTATTACGAATGTTTAGTAGTATTAACTAAGGCCGGTCTCGTTAGGATTCAAAAAAATTTTTGTTTTTCTTAATTTAAGCCTTGTTATGGTCATTTTTTAAGATTTTCGGTCGTTTATCGTTCTTATTTTAAACTTTTTTAAGGATTGAAATAATATTTGAAAAATCTCAAATGTAGAATGAAAAAGTACTTAAAAGATGACCGAAAATATCCAAAGAAGACCAAAATATGCTTAAGCCATTTTCGTGACCGAAAAATCTCGTTTTTATGACCAAAATTCTTGTTTTTTTTTATCAGTGTACTTCGGGTTTCCATTGCCATTAACATACAATGGTTTGTACTGGGGAATAAATTGTTGTTAATATCGGTTTACTTATGCGGCTTAAATAAATAAATATATATAGTATAGCTTAGTATTCATTATACTAAGGTTTCAGCTTGAAAAGATTACTTAATCCAAAGTCAAAAGTCATGGGTATAAAAGGTATAAAATAGATTCTAGGGACTTCTATAGTTAAATTCATGTTAGAATATATTCTATCTAAGGAAAGGCAGCCTAATAGCCATGAAATACAAGTTTTGTCTGGCGAAACTTCTTCCAATTGATCCAAAATACAACAATTTTATGACCAAGATACCTTCCAGTAGGTCACTCTGGGTTCAAAGCAAACATTGCATACAGTTTTTTTTTATCTTCATTGACATTGGTTTATTTCACTTATCATTATTAGCAACTACAAATAAATAATGTAATAAATATAAATACTTCGAGCGTTACATTGTGACGCAACTAAGCCTAAAATAAATTAGCTTACGACTAGCTTGTGGCAAAAAAAAAAAGTAGATATATAGAGTTCGTGGAGATTTCTCTGCTCAGTTGCTGCGTCCAAAGATCAAGGCCCGGCGACAGCGATCCCGATGGTCCCGCATCTTGCCAGAGGGACAGGGCTTGGACAGCTTCCTGGAGACGAGAAGCTGGCTGGTAAGAGTGCGGCTCTTGGGGCTGTAGAAGACCAGACGACGGGCTTCCGTGGTGCTAGAGCTCTGGGCCAGAATCAAGGCGATGACCACAAAGGTGAGAATGAGCAGGCGTTGCAGTTGCATCGTGTGGTGAATCCTTCTTGAATCCCAATTGGATTTCCTTTGATTTTCGTGTGTATTTAAACCGGACTTTTCACAGCACCGTTGTCGTTTTTATAGGTCAATTCACTGGGGACTCGCTTTTATTACTGAGCCCGCTCGCCGATATTGCGCCCGCCGATATTCAACGTCGATAGGTAAAGGCGGCGACCGCCCGCCGGCCCGCTATCGATAAGATAAGCCACCCCAAAGGCATTCCGCTGGCACGCGATAAGATAGCCGCACAGCCCACAGCCCTAGGCATAAATATGCCTCTATAGCTGTAGTATTGTCTGCGGGTTGCCCCCGGATCGCCTCGATATTTCACTGGCTGCTATTTTGGTGCCCCGTTGCCGTATGACGAAAGCTTGGGGGAATTTGCGGAGCTCGTAACCGTGCTCGAGAGCCGTGCGTTTGAGTAGTAAAATTCCAGTGTCATGATTCCCCTTCTGGCGAACTCCAAGGAGGCACTGCGTCACCGGATGGATCACTGACCAGCGCTCCCCTATCAGTGACGCTGCCGCATCCGGTTGGGGAGTGGTTTTGGCTGTGATCTATGGTCGAGTTACAGCCCGAAAATATGCAATGCTCTGGGTGTTGTCAAGTGGAAATATAGGTAGCATAAGTCCTACGTCAAGTTCTTGAAAATACCAAGGGATCTTTACAGGAAAGGGGGATTTCTTAAGAGAACTGTGCTTGATATAAAAGTGGAAATGTGGTCCGAGAAGAAGCGGGGAATTTGCTTCGAATTTCTGTAGGTTAATATTGACCTAGTCATGGCAATTTCAGGAATCACTACGTCAAGTCAGATAATAATATGAAATTGGTCTTTAAAACATGTAATAGCCTGTTGCCAAGGCTTAGTTAAACCATTTAGATTTTGAATTGAACTTTTTAATTTATAATTCAAATAAATGTATTTAGTATATATTAAAATATTACCTTTTACTGACCTAGTCAAGGCCTTTAAAGGCTGCGTCAGGCACCTAAAAATACCAATGGCTCATTAAGATTAAGTTAACATTCGTTGCCAAGCAATTAAAAGGAACTATATTATCAGCATTTCCCGTAAACAAAGTTGGTAATATATTTGTTTGCCAAGCATAACATTTTCTAGGAGAACTTAAAGTGTAAAAGTTAGTAATCTAAAAGCATTCCAGGAAAAATATAAAACTCCTTTTAAATTTAATATTATTTGCGGTAAATGTTAATAGTAAACATATTTACTTATAATTTTTATTGAATTTTTAATTATCTTGGAAAACCCAATCATTTTATGTTCCCTTCTGGCAACATCGATGGCTCCTAATCCACCAAAAGTGCTAACCACCTTCTGGCAGTTGTGAAATCGGTATTTCATTCAGCAATTAGCTCAGACTCCGCTGACATGTCGATAAGACGCTTGATGAATTCGATTCGAAGCCGAATCACCTGCCAGCTCTCCGATTACAATTAGCGTGCTACCTGGAGAGGCCTCTCCCCCTAGCTGACGTAGCGGCGGTGCAAAGTTTGCCGGACGTCTGACCAGAGTAATTCGGTAATACCGTTTCCGAGCGGCCCTTGGATTCGGATCGAGCGTCTCGTTACATTCGAGTGATCGATAGATGGCATTGGCATTACGATAACAGGCTCTGACGCATGCAACAATGGGTTTATACGTACTGAATGAATCGGGGGGATTACGAGGATTGATGGGGTTTTATTTTTGGATAGAAATTTTGGAAGAAATAATGGATAAAATCTATAAAATTTAAAAAAATTATGGATAAAATCTATAATATATTTTAAAATGTAAGATTTATGTAAAATGTAAATGATTTAAATATTAAAAAGATATTTGGAATATATATTGATGTCTTCTACATTCAAAATGACCTTTAGAGACAGTAATTTTATTTATTTTAGATAGATTTATGATTCAGAGGGTCAATCTTTGCTGTATAAATAATTATTCAAACAGAAAGAAATGTCTGGTAATTTAATATTATATTTTTAAATAATTATTTAACATTTTAATCATTATAAAATATATTTTAAATACTCTAAAGCACCTAATATATAGGTTATATATTATTAAATTACATTCCATACAACATTTAATTTTATTAAATTATTTTATTATATTTCCTTAAACTTAGACTTAGCATAACATCAATGGACTTAGTACAAAATCTTATTATACTTTAAGCAATTAAATATCAATTGAAACAATCAAAAAATGAACAATAAAAATTACTTCCAGGTGGGTCTTAGCAGGTAAACAGTGGCAAGAGCCACCTGTTAGGGCCGATTGAGACCGATTAACCCATAGATAATGGGCGTTTTGCGTCAAGTCGGCATTATAATTGTTAAATCAAATATTTCCGAATCCACTCGAGCAGCTGATATGGCGTATGAGCCATTATAGAAATCCCCCGCCTAATGCAAAATTAATTGATAAGATACTCCGGCTTTGGCTGCGGATAATTGGCCAAGTCCCTAGCCCGGAGGACGACCTTCAATGGAATGCGGGAAATGTGCTTAAATTTGCATGGCATTCCGTGGCTTTTTGTATATTTTGTAGTTTATTGTTAGGTGTATGGCATGCGAGGCAGATAAATAGCATAAATAAATAAGGTTTGTAGTTTGTTGTGGTTGAGAGAGTTGGAGATTCGTTCGATGGTGGTGGCACTTCACTACGGTTCACCTCAGCAGCGCACGCCATCTGCAAGACAGAGACAGAGAAGAGTTAGAGCGGTACGCGGCACATTTCTTCTATTATTTATTTTTTTTTTTTGTAATCTGAGATGACGCACTGGCACCGTGGCGTATACGTAATGCGTATATGCGATATGGTCATATCACCCACCTGCATTATAGGCAATGATGCGTCGGCAATTGCCGCGATGATCATGCATGTGGCACTGGGGACAGGGCTTCTCCATCCCGTGCGTGGCCAGAATCTGTCCACGATGGATACCGTTCGGCTTCAGGAAGATCACGCGACGCGATTCGGTGGGCGCCGGGGCACAGAACACGAACACGGCCCACAGACAGAGCGAGTAAAGCAGCAGTTGGTGCATCGACATCTCTCGTTTCGGTTACTCTTGGATCTCACGACGATATATCACAAAAAAACAAAAAAAAATATCCTTATGTATATATATAGCTAACGAGTGAGTGGCTTGCTCCAATGCCGGCAGTTAACTGATTTTATACGAGTTTGGGGTAGCACTTCTTAAGTGCTCTGCTCGCTTGTCTTTTCATTGAATTGATAAACCCGTCGTCACAGGGTGTTCCAGTTAGAAAACTTGCCAGAGTTGGGTATATCAGCCTTTGAGGTGGTGAACCAAATGGGTGAGCAACGGAAAATGACAGAAAATGAGTGAAAAGTTGAGCGATTAAAACGAATAGAACGAGATTCTGAACAACTACTGAACGGTTTGATCTAGAAAAGACTTAAGTAATTCATTGATTGAGGAAAAAACTGTGCCAATGAACAAATGAGTGAGCAAATAAGTATTCAAAATAGTGAGCAAGTGAAGAAGCGAGTAGACGAGTAAGGGAACAAATGAGTGTAAAGGGAAATAAGGAGTTCACAAAGAAATGAACGAAAAAGTGAAGAAAAGAGTTAACGAAGAAGTGAACAAATGAGTGAACGAAGAAATGAACAAATGAGTTAGCGAAAAAGTGAACAAATGAGTTATCAAATTAGTAACGAGCTGAGTAAATAAAAAAGTGATGTAATGAGTGAAAAAATGAGGAGGCAACATTTTACAAAAATACAGAAAATTAAAAATTTAAAGGGAACATGTTGGTTTCACTATTGTCACCCTGTTTTTTTCCGTGGGACTGCTGCTCGGCCTCTCGGGGGGAAATCTTATCTTTGCCTCCCTGCCATTTGCAATCTGTGTAATTGAGTGCCCCGCCTTTGCCCAGCACTGATTTCGTTGCCGAGCCACAGTATCTATATATCTGAGCACGAGTCCCGATAATACCCGATACAATGCTATCATCATCAGGGGGGGACCTCGTTGCATTTGCATAGGACGATCCAATTGGGCTTAACCCTTTTTTTACTTTGGGGGTTTATTCCGAAGAGAACTTCTCACAAAAAAGGGGATTTTTACCAGCTTTTCTTGGAAGCTTTTACTACTTTTGGGGGAACTCTTAAATCACTTAAGGAACTAGCACCCATAAGTGTTTGAGGTAATAAAAAGGTAATTGATCTGGGCAAAAATATATAATATTTGTAAGCTGTAAGCTAAAAATTATTAAATAATAAAATAGTGTTTACTTTAGAGGTTAAAGTTCTTCTAAGTAATTTTCGGTGTCATTATTTCTTCATTACATATATTTTTTAAAATCATTTTGAATTACTTAATAACTTCCACTTGGAAGTGGAGTAGTTGTTAGCAAGATTAACTAACAAACTCTTCAGGAAGCCCAGAGATAACCTCGTATTTTTAGAGCTGAGTAAGAACGTGGGTTAATTTGGCTCGTGTTTCGCTATTTTTGGTGAGCCACCAATCGCTGCCTGATCGAAGGAGATACCATAGCAGGCTTCCCGGGCGAGCCATGAACTTTGACAATTAGATCCGCGGTGACTTTTTAGCTTCGTAACGATCGCCGAGTGAGCCATATGAAATTCCGTGTAAAAGTGGCCCCATTTTCGCCCCGTCATTGAAGGGGGGGTGTAGTGACCACGCGACTGCCCCCATTGAGCATTTAACGTTAATGGGAGAGACGTCACCAGATCTATTTGCCGATTTTTGGTCTTATCGCAAATAATGACAATCGTAGTGCTGAAATTTCCCGAAAATGTGACCGAATAGGGGTCGCTGGATATAAAAATATGGCGCTGAGTCAGCCGGTGGTCGATTCCCGTTATCTCCCGGCGGCCTATATCTTGTATCTTGTCTCTGTGTATCTTGTATCTGGCGTCTGCCGTATCTATGGCACACCAGAATTCGCGGTATTTCATCATACCTACACGTGATGTGACGTAGTTTCGATTTCATGACGAGTCGCAAGGGTTAACGTCCACCTCCATCTGGGGTTTTCTAGGGTTTTTGGGTTTGCTTTAGGGTCTTCCAAGAAACACTGAAAGTCGGAAGGCATTGGTTCAAAGTCTAGCAGCTTACTGCGCATTTTTTAGAAATAAAATATCAAAAGAAGAGAGGAAAACCTTCAAGGTTGAATGATGCCAAACTGGGTTTGATTTTGAAATAAAATATCAACTTTTTTGGATAAAATATCCGCCTTATCTAAAGGATTTACAATTGTTTTGCTTTCATTTCACTTTAATCACGGGGCCAACACAGACTTAACATAAACACATACTAAAAATAAACTAGACTAATCGGAATATTCCATTTTTAGACAAGCTGCGTGGGAGAGATAAAATTATATTGTAAGTGCAAATAAATTTTGAGGGGGAACATGGTAAACTTACCCGCCGGCAGCGTCCATGATGATCGCGTATGAAGCCGTGTCGGCAGCGATTGCCTCGCGTGTCGAACAGCATGGACTTGCCAAGCAGATCCGTCTGGTTCTTGGATGCCCTTGCCGACTGGGTTTCGTTCAAGTGGTTAAAGTAGATCACCTTTCCGGTGCCGCTGCACTGCGAGCCCAGCAGCAGGACCAGGAGCAGCCCCAGCAGTGACAGGAGCGAGGGAAGCGATCGCATCTCGAGCCAAGGGTCTTAATCGCACTGAGCTCTCTTTTGTGAATTCGCGTTGGCCCGACGAACCATCTTATCAGCCCTCTGATTAGCTTGTTTGTTTAGCCACGACGAGTGGCTGTGTCTCGCCAATGGACACGCTCCACAACCGAATCTGGGGACTGGATCTCTACTGGTCAGTCCGCCCAGAAAGCATGGCAGACTTTTGGGCGGCCACTGAAGAGGAATTCCTAGAAGACTCTGGGGATGAAGTCTGAATACTCTTTAGTTGCAAAGGGAAAATATGATAAGAGCAAAGAATCTAGCAATTATTACTTAAATTTATTTACATTTCTTTAAATCGGATTTTATATATATTGTTACCCTATTTGCAGACAAACCTTTGGCTAACGAGTAGCTCTTCCCTCTTGTGAAATCATAAATAAACCTCACCTTTCCTTTTTCGTGCTTAAAAATACTTATTCGTTTTGATTGAAAAGGTTGACAAGACCTTTTTGGCAAATGTTTTGCCTAAAAGATTTCCAAGTGCCTCTGCAATTTAATTGGAAAAATGTCACAAAATGATTCTGACAATGTAAAAGTATATTTCTAAGTGTTTAAGTACACATATTTCTTGGCACAATAAACCCATTTGATCTGACGCCAGAAAATCATAGTTTTGGCTTAATTAGTTGCTAAATTATATTCGATTAAAAGAGGCACTTGTCTGGTTTTTAGATTTTTGTTTTTATTTTCACATGTTTTATCGTCTTACATCACAAGGAGGAACTGTATAATTTCTGTCTGTTCTTGAACTGCCTGCATTCCCTGACGCTTTGTATATTCTTCAGGACCAATTCTTCTGTGGCTTTCTGCTGTGCCTTTCTTCTGTGGCTTTCTTCTGTGGCTTTATTCTGTGGCTTTCTTCTGTGGCTTTCTTCTGGTCTTTGTGGGATCTCTTTCTCTCTTCTATCGAGCGGTGGCGCCCGGCGCTGCTCGATAAACACAATTGTCAGGATCCACGGTGATGAGCTCTAAGAAGAGATAGAGAAGAAATTAAGACCAGAGCTTGGGTATTCCCCTACTTTAATGTTTATTCTTTGTTAATCTTTAATTATTAAAATATTAGTTATAATTGTATCTTCACTAGCAAGAGTTTAGAGCTAAAATAAAGTCCACATTAACCTTTCTTTACTATTTAAACTATAAAAACATCTTAGTTAAGGTCTAAGTTAACTCAAATCCCTATTTATTCCCCAGATTTATTTAGGATTAATCCCTTCTCATGTCCCTTAACCTTTACACTGTCCCCCTAGCTCGCATATTATCCCTTTACCAATTCACCACTCACCCTGAGCTGCATCCTTGCCGCAACTGTTCTGGCCCTGATTCCTTGGCCTGCCCCTCGACCTGCGTGGCTCCCGTTCCCCAGTCCGCTGCTCATCCTCCTCCGAGCTGGACACTGGTCTCTCTGACGCTCTTCTCCGTGTCGTCGCGGCCTGCACGACTCTAGCTTCCGACTGTGCCGGCTCCTGCTCCTCCCGCTGCTCCTGCAGGATATTCTCGCTGGACGAGTGCTTGGGCGGCCGACGGCGTCGGTTCCTTAGACGCTGCGAGCTGAAGCTCTCTTCGCGAATGACCAACGTGCCGGCCTTACTGGTGCGCAGGTAGTAGCGCGGCGCCTTCACCACCTCCTCCTCCTGGGCGAACTCCGGTGAAGAGTGACGGCCTTTGGATAAACTGAATCGCTCCAAAATGGAGCTGTGCGAGCGTCGGTAGCGTCTCTTCTCCCTGGGACCCGAGCTGGATGAGTTCAGTGTAGAGGTCGAGGGCGGTGTGGGATAGGTGGGTGTGGGCGTGGGCGTGGGCAGATCCTCCACCGCCTCCTCCTGGAAGCGAACGCCACGCAGAGAGCTAGAGCGCCGTGAGCTGGACGAGGGCTCCCAGTTGGGCAGCTCGTGGGTGCTAAAGTCAATGCAGCTGCCGTGTGTTTTCAGACGTCGCCCGCTCTCCCGGCTCGAGCTGGGCGTGGGCGTTATTGTGGGCGTGGGCGTGGCCTCGGCAATGTGCAGTCCCTGGAAATTCCTCTCCAGATTTGAGGTGGCCGAGCGCTTGCGACGGCGCGGCGACTCTTCTGATCTGTAGGTCCCCTCCCTTAGACCCTGGGCGTCCACCAGGAGGTTGCCTGCATGATCGTAGAGCAGGATCCGGGGCAGGGCTATGTTGCTGCAGCTGCGGGAGGTGCTCAGCTCCCAGTTCCAGTGCGGCGGCTTTTTTAGCTTCAGGCTGAGCAGATTGGCCAGCGGATCCTCCTCCTCCTCCTCCAGAGGCTCTCCGTTGGGAAAGGCCTCCTCTTCGCCTTCAGCTGCCTGGGACATGGCAGCTCATGGGCCAAGGATCTTCGTATATATAGATATATATTTTCTGGGTCTCTGCTTCCTTCCTTCCTTCCACCTGTTGGTTGTCCGTTTCTCTTTCTGGTTGTGCCTTCAACCGATGGCTCTTCCCCTTCTCCGGCGGGTATGATCTCTGGCTTCTTCTTCGCTCTGCTGCTTTGGCCTTTGGCCAATTTATTGTTTATCTCAACTATGTCTGTACAGGTGGCACTCGATGGGCAGATCAGTCGGTTGTTTATTTAGTTATTTATGCAAAATAGTAAAAGTTATTCATGTTTTGCTTATAAAATTCACTGTTTACATCGTAATTACTCTTTTTTATATTCAAAAATATATATTATATATATTTTTAATCACTTGTTTATATTCTTTAATTGATTTTATTCCCTAAGAACTCTCAGAATCCCTTGTAGCCCGTGCTCACTGTCTTTTCCTTTGGATGCTGCCCACGCTTTCAATTATTTTTGGCTTTTTTTTTTGTTCAGCAATCTCGCTCTTTCTCTTTTATGTTTCGCTATTTTTAGAGGCGATCCGCTCCCAGAAACTGTCCGTTCCCGTTTGGATTTCCCAATTAACCCAACCAATTTTCCTTGGCTCCGCGAGTTTTCCCTCTTACTCCGTCACCCAATGGATCGCTGGTGACATTTTGAATGCGACGACACCGACACACTGTGCCACTTTTCTGGGCAACCAGAGACACCGAAAAAAATGGGGGGTAGGGAACGAGAAGCGATCAAACAAAAACAGAGAACGGAGAACGGAGAAGGGAAAACAGCTGCCGTCCCGCTTCAACTGGCGTCGGCCGTCTCTTTCGTTTCGGTGCCCCCGATCAGCTGCTGCGATCTGTGAGATCTTTTTGGATCTCTGGTGTTCCGCCCGCCAACGTGCCTCGTAGCCAACTGTTTGCAGCGGCGGCATCTCGCTTTTGGGCCCCAAAAAGAGACACCTCCTCCGCCTGCGACGCCACCAGCTATAGGAGGCCGCCTCCCCCTTAAACCCCGTCAGGCCCCACTGGGATTTCGCATATTTCACGCTCTCACACAGTGAGTTCTTAAATCAGAAGAAAATCGCAGGGCGGATACTCTTGCAGGTCAAACAAGTTTATTTTTACCTTAAAAAAATATATTTCTTTAAATATTTTATTAAAAATATATTTAATTAAAATTTTATCTTTAAAAGGAAACATTTTTTAGGTGTTGAAAAATATTTTTCGATTTTTTAAGCCTTGGTTTTTGGCATAAGTTAGTTTATACTTTCGCTGTTACTAAAATTATTTAAATATATCCTTAATTAATAAATTCTTAAAATAGTTTTAAGTATATAGATAATATTTTTCAATATTCAAAGTAAATTCTTTTAGACTCTTTTTTTAAAAAACATAGTTACCCATTGTGTGCTTTTAAGACTGATCATAAATCTCATCTTAAGTCCTTAACTAACCGCAGATCGAAGCGATAATGCCTGCCCCAGATTTCAGTGTGCTTCTTCACATCATATAAAAATAAAAACAAAAATGTGAAAAACAAATTGTTGTTTATCTATCTAGGAAAACACACACGGTTTTCTGTTATGTTATTGGGAAATGACTGAAACATATGTGGCCGCCGTTGCTCGGCTAATTTGCACACACTTTCAGTCTCTCAGTTCATTTTGCCATTGAAAAATGACAAACAAACAGAAGAGCTGAGGAAAAGTGGGAAGAAAGAAAGGCGAATAAAGAAAAGCAAATGACTTTTCGCATATTTTTCATCAGCTGAGGGTCCTGCTGACACTGGCAAGTGATTCAGTCGACGGGAATGTACGCTTCTCTATGGGATTCGATTGGGAAGGTATCGATTACATATCGGGTTATCAGAATTTATAAAAATAAAAGCATTTCATGAGGGTTATTTGGAGTAAGGTTACTGTATACTTTGTTTCTGATAACTATAGACTATAATATTTTTGTAGAATAATTTTTAAATTTATTTTAGGTACACCGATATGCCCCATTGACGACCCGGCAGAGTGCCCTGCCAAGTTCGTATATACATATTTCTGGCCTCTCCGGTTTGCTGGCTTCCTCTCCCCGAAAAAGGCGGCAATGTTTGGCAATTATGTTTGCGGCTAATTTGTTGGCTAAAATCTAATTTATGCGGACATTGATGCATCGTCATGAGACGTGAGCCCCAAGTCCGAAAGTATGCAACACACATGCCAGGAGCCACGAGAGAAGCGTAGACAAGGTCAGAAGGTTATCGCCGGCGATAAGCTTCTCCGCGGCAGTCCGATTCAGGCCAACGGGAGAAGCTTCGTCAGACCGAAATAGTTGAGCTGCAGACAACGCCATGAGCAGATCCCTCGTCCTGATCCTTTTGCTGGCTCTCAGCAGCCTGGAGCTGCTGCAGGCCCGCTCCCTGCCGGACAGACCGCACAGGCGGTACATACGCAGACGCGTGTCGCCCACGAACCCGGATGTGGAGATTGTGGAGGTCAGGGATGTGTACCTCATACAGCGGCCCAAGAAGGTGGTCACCACGATCGACGAGGATGAGCTGGACTGGCGCATTCGCTGCGACTTCAATCCGAGTCTCGATGAGTGTGGGTTTTTTTCTTACAATTATTTAATACGGAATCTGTAAAGTGTGGCAGTGATTCATTTCATTACTAGATTAGATTAAGTACAGCATCATCAATTATTGACGTAAACAAAAATTTAAACTTATTTCTATTGATTTTATTTTGTATAATTGATAATTTCCCTATTTACAGGCAAAAGTTTAGGCAAAAAACCAGTGGCTTCTGCTTTACCAACAACTAAAGCCACCACTACCACCACCACACCGAGACCCACAACCACTGCCACCACTCCTGAGGCGATTTTAGATGATTGTGACTTTAATCCCACTTTAGAAAAATGTATGTTTTTATAGAAAATATTCGTTTTAAATTAGAAATTAATGATTTATTTGCTTGCAGGCGCTCCTTCCACCACTTCCACCACTTCAACTTCTTCTACGACAACCACCACAACCACAACGGAGTTGCCTGTGCTGGCGGAATCCACAGAACCTGAACCGGAATACGATGAAGAACCCGAAGAAGAAACCGAAACCCAGCCAGAAACCGAAACCGAAACCCAAACAGAAACCCAACCCGAACCGGAGGAGCCTGATTATGAAGCACAACCAAATCCTGACGAGAATATTGAACTGGAAGAGGACAATGGCGACGATGATGATGGCGATGAAGACGAGCCAGAGGATGCGGATGATGATGACACTGATACCAACAATGAGGAAGGATCCAGTTTCATAGGGTTTAATGATCAGTCCGAGTGGAATTAATCTGGATAACTTTCCAAAAGCGGAAGCTTGTTTCCTAAATTGATTTGCAATAAATTACGGAAATAATAGTGGATTTTTTATGTATATTTTTTTTAGTGCCTAAGTTGAACAAGTTCTAGAAGCAAAATGTAGGAAATTTGAAAATTGGATTTAAGCTGGCAGTTGTGTTACTTTTCAGCCTCGCCAATTGTTATGCAATCACTAGTAGCTCGTGGCCATTGTGGGTCAATTCCAGATCAGTGCGTCCGCGTGTAAAAACCAATTGAATGTGTTGTATATATACCATATACTATACATATAGTCTATTTATATTCCATATTTGTCAGAGCTTCCGGCTTGGCGAATAAAAAGTGCGTAATACGCTGTGAAATGTCAGAGGCAAGCAAAGTCGGGGAGATAATAATCGAGTGGAGGGATGGGGATAGGAATCAATAGCAGTTGGGGCAGCCTTGACCTTTAGGGTTTAGAGTGAAGAAGTTCCCCAAAAATCAGAATATAACTTACTAAAACTAGCCTAGTTTAAAGTAAAGTTGATGATAAAAAAGGTCAAGGGATAGATACTTTTGAATGAAGGGAATTTGCAGTGTTTTCAGATCTATAAATATTTTTTAAAAATATTTTCCCATATTAAATCTGTAAAATATTGGCAAGATTATATACCAAAGGCTCCTCTACATCCTGAGGATTAACCTTATGCCACAGCCTTGACCCAAGTGTGACCAGCAAGTTGAGACTAGCCTGCTGCACGTGAAGATACTACATCTACCGGGTGTATCTTTGTGGAAACATCTTTAAGCTGTGGGCTCCCTTTTGTCCAGATGAGATAAATCAGCGCACAATTGGGCACGATCTGCGATGATGATTGTTGTTGCGGGCAAATTGAATTACCGAGAAAATGCGAGGCAAGTGACAAGTGACACACAAAGGCGACGGCGAGGCGAATAAAATGCCTGGAAATCGGGGCGCGCAGGTCAGTCTCAGTCGAGAAGTCAACGTTCAGTCTGGTTTTCACACAGAACCACAGGAACAACAGGAACTTGAAAGATGAATTCCCTGCAAGGATCCCTCGTCCTCCTCCTGCTGGCTGGCGTTCTGCTCCGTGCTCAGGCGGGTCTCTTTGACTGCGAGGACAAGATACCCGGACTGAGCGAGGTGGGCGACAAGATCTCCGAGGTGACCGGCAGCAGCAGCAGCTCCGAGCATGAGGTTCGAGATTTCTTCAAGAACGTGGGCTGTCACATCAAGGAGGGCGCCAAGAAGCTGGGCGAGAAGGCCAAGGATTTGGGCGCCGAGCTGAAGGAGGGCGCCCAGAAGCTGGGCGAGAAGGCCAAGGTGCTGGGCAGCGATCTCAAGGATCGCTTTGATGACTTCCGCGACAAGCTGGCCAAGGACTCGGCAGAGGAGATGAGCAAGGATCGCGGCTTCTTGGCCAATGTGGAGATCATCAATCCGGACATCCTCAAGGGCGAGCAGCAGTGCGGCCATGGACACATCCTGGATGCCTTGGGCAACTGCAGCAAGTTGAGGAAGTAGTCCTTGAAAAATCCAACCCCCCTTGTCCTGTAAATATTTAAGTTTTTTTTTTTTTTTTTGTTCTCTTGATTTCCTTCCATGTGCTTTTTTTTGTGTAAATAAAAAATGAAAGTGAAATGATGAATGTGCGTGATTGATTTGGGATTAGGATGCTCTGAGCTGTGCAAGGGGAAATGTATTTTATTGAAAAGCTACACTTGTACCTGAGATTAGAATTTGTATTTTTTGAGTTAGTTTTTAGTTTCCTTCCTAATATAACATAAACTAGAATCTGTTAAAGCTTCAATAGGCTTATATTAACTTTTAAGAGGGTTTCAGTATATAATTTCTAAATATACAAATAAACATAAAAAGCCCCAAAGTAAAGTTTACTCTGTAAACTGTAGTCATTGGTTTTATGTTTTGGTGACTAATCATAAACTATTAGTCATGGACTTAAAAAAAATGTATTTAGTGTACAGACTAGAGAGCTAAGTCTTGGTTTCTTATCTCTTAAATGTTATTTTTTATACAATTTATAACAAAGTCTTATGTATTTCATTCTTATTAATTATAATAAATAAATGATTAACATATTTTCCTAATTTTCAAATTAAAATTTGCTTTGCTAATATATATAAATATTATGAATTACTTTTAGAATACCTCTAAATCTTGTATTTCTTAGAAATACCTTCCCAAATAAACTTAAAATAAATTTAAAAAAATTCAAGCTGCTTTTGATTTCTTTCAATTCAGTGACTAATCCCCAAAAAAAACCCCATCAAGATTCTAGTTCTAGATTCTTATAAAAGATACAATTTAATAGTCCAATTGAGGCGAGACTTGGCGAGTGATCAGCATGATGGATTAGTCACCTTTGCAATTCCCCCAAGTGTACCAAGTGCGTGCATTTCTCTATTCCCATTCTGGAGAATTTCTCTCCGATTCTCCGCACTGTCTCTGCCTCGCTCTTTCTCTGGCGAAATAGAGAGGCCAGAGCCCAAAATGCATTTTTAGTTGCCCGACGACTTTCTCGACGGGCAAAAGCCCAGCCCAAAAGACACCGCGATACCCAAGAACTTGGTCAAGTGGCGGCGGCTGCAAACGGGTTTCAGTCGCGTTTGGTGCCTCAACGGCGACGGACTTGTATACTCGATACCCAGACCGATACCTGAAGCGATAACCGATTACAATATCCCAGCTTCGAGATGACTAATTCCTTGGTGATCTTCGTGACCCTGTGGCTGTGTCTTTTTGGCCAACTGCAGGCTGCCTCAATTGTCTGCGGCTCGGAGGCCAAGGCTTTGGATGGTGGGGATGTGGAGACGCTGACCACCACCCCGAGTCCCAGTGAGGTCAACAAGTTTGTGCATAGTCTGCAGTGTACCCTGGAGAAGGCCAAGCCCTGGATAGCCAACATTGAGAAGGAGGCCAAGATTCTGGAGGAGAAGGCACGCGATGTGACCAGGTCGCTCTTTCAGCGCTTCAACATGCTGGTCACCGTGCTCACCCTCCCAGCCACCACCAATTCGCACACTGAAAAGGATAAGATCAAGGATCCGGAGGAGGTGACTTCCAGCACTACCATCGTCACGGAGGCAGCCGAGGAATCGTCGAGCTCTCCGAAAAACGAGCTCAAGGAGGAGGTCACCACCTCTTCGCCGCCCATCCGCATGGACTGGCTGGAGGATCACGACAACGAAGTAGTGTGAATGTAGCTAAACCATACTTTAACACATATTTATATTAACTAATAAAACTGCTTTCCTATTTATTGTAAACCTGCAGCTAGTTATGATTATTAAATTTCAGCAATTTGAAAATTCAAGGGAGACTTTAATTTTTATTATCAGATGAAGATTGGAAGATGTTACCTTTGGAATTATTTACAAAATATACAAAGAACCACTTGATTAAGCCCAACGCAAAACTCGTTTTCAAACCATTTGGGTAGTGAGTCACCGGACTTGGATGAGAGATTCTTCTCTGACTTTCTCCTCTGTTCTGGCCAAAAATAAACGGAAGCCCTGCATCCCCCAACTAACCTGGGAAAGCCGGTTTTCCTGCAGTTCTGCAGTGATGTGAATCAGCTTTCAACTGGCCCATCTTGAGCCTCACTTGCCAATCTCCAGCCGTTGAAGATGCAGCTCCTGTGCACCTGCGGACTTCTGCTTCTGGCGGTGCTCTTCCTGGTCTCTATATCATTTGTACAGACCGCAGCCTGGTCGGGATGGGGCTGCTCGAGGCGGGATTATCGTGGTTGCTGCTACAGCAGGTGGAATCCCAAGAAGCTAAGACCGCCATGCGCCCCAAAATGAAAGAGAGAACTGGAAACGAGATTTTGAAACCCTCTTCCTCGAAATATACAGTGCCTACAAAAATATACATATATTGTCAGTGTGAAATTAAAAACCTATAAACATGTAATTGACTTTACAGAGCAAACAAAATTGTTCACAGATACGTACAGGTGCGAATAATATTTGATTGAGAACTGAAATTGTGACAAACAATAGGATCTGCGTGACATCTGTCTTTTATATTTTATTGTAAAGCAATTTTAAGGTGATTTTTTTTGTGAAATAACTGCTATTGAATAATAAAGAAATGCAATAAATATAGAACATTACTCATTTGGTATTCATAAATAAATATAATATAAATACAGGAGAATCTGCAAGGTGTGATCTATTTAAATCAAATAATAATACGTAATATAACATAAATATTAATATTTTGGGTTCTTAATTGTGTTAAAATTATTTAAAAACAAATGTTTTATAGTAAAAGATGATCATAAATAAAATTTATACATAATTTAAATATATTTCAATGTATAAATTTATTTGTACGCTGTATGCTTAATTCTAAATTAAGCTACAGGATGGATAACAGCCATAGCTGATTTATATATATGTAAATTAGTAACTATCCAAAGCCAAGCAACTTTTCTTAGAATTTTCATAAGCTTTAAGAAGATATTCTTTATTTTATTTCTATTCTTTAATATTTTAATATAAATATATTTTTATTAATCTACTGTTAAGGGTTAAATTAATTACACTTGTCAAAATCAAATTTATTCTCTGACTTAGAAAGTTATTTTTAAAATGTTGATTAAATTTACTTTAATTTAAAGCTTAAAAAATAGCAAAATTTAGCAAGGTATTCTAGAATCTAACCCTTACAGATCTCTCCTTAGTAGCTCCCAATTTTGGAGTCATCTTGGTAGTTCTCCCCTAAAACTCCGGACAGTGCATTAGAGCTTCCATTACAGCAGTTCGCATTGAACGCAAAACAAAGCGACGCACACGAACACAACTTGATTGGGATTTATTACCGGAGCAGGGGCTCGGTAGCGGAACCTGTTCCCAAGCCTTGGCCGGAGACCGGGGAGCGGAGAACGGAGAACGGAGATTTCGGATCGGAGAACGCTATCTGGAGAGCTGAGCCGCGGCGGCGATTCAGTCGTGAATTCAAGCTGAAAGCGTCGAGATGAAATCGTTTGTGGTGTGCTCTCTGATCGGACTTATGCTCCTGGTGGCCGTCGCCGAGGTGCGCGCCGAGTGCGACGAGGAGAAGGCGCCTGATGAGAGCGACTTCAAGCACTTCTTCAAGAACTTGGGCTGCAAGGTCAACCAGGGGGCTAAGGACGTGGCCGAGGCTGCCAAGCCCTACGCGGACAAGATTGGCGAGGGCGCCAAGGAGTTTGGCAGCTCGGTGGCCCATAAATATGATGAAATAAAGCACAAGCTCACGGATGAGGGACCCACTACGCCGAAGGCGCCCATTGCCTATGATGCTCCCACTGAGAAGGTGCCTTTGGCCCCCATTGGCAGCTCGCCCCCACCAGCCCTGTGAGCATCAGGATCAGGTGTTTCCAGGAGCACAGGAGAAGTCTAGGATCTACTTCTCCGCTTGCTTCCCCCTTGTTGCATAATATTTCTTTCTTTGTGTTTTTTTTTCTTGTGATCTATATGAATAAAACGCCTAATCAAGTGATGTTGGACTCGTAAGCTGTGTTTTGCGACTTAATTAAGAGCGTTGATAAGCCGGGATTAGATGGGGATCACGACTCGCTAATGAATCAAGGCAGACATGACGAAAACAAAAAAACCAGAGCCCAGGTCAAGGCTGGAATATGTTGGGAGATAAGCGAGGTGTTCAGGGTTTCAAAGTAAATAAAAATCAAGCCAAAATTAGAAGGAAATTAGGTGGAAATGCTAGGGAATTAATTATAAAAAGAAAATAGTCACCTTTACATTGAAACTACAATAAAACAGCTTCTATAAACCAAGCTAGATAGCTTTAAACCTATTCCACATAACTTTTAATTTCGATTCTCAGCAGAATCTCTACAAAAAATAATACAATTTTATTTAAATAAAACCCCCAAGGGTTTAATGTTCTTTTTGGCGAACAAAACAAGGCAGAAAAAACAGGGCCACCAAGGAGAATTCTTGGGAAAAAATGGAAACAAAGGCGCCGACTTTTGGGACAATAAAATAATTTAAAAAAAGAAAGCAAACCGCAAGTGATTTACATTTGAATCGTAATTATTCAAAGTGATTCCGCATATATACAACTTGAATCGTGTGCAGAAATGTGAGACATTCATTTGGGGATCGTTTGGAGAGCGAACTCTTCCCTTGAAACTGACGGACCACCGCAAACCCCTCAATCACTCGACATGGAAATTATATAGAGGAGATGTGACGATGCTGCCGCTGATCGGTCACCATGACGAACAGAATCTATAATTTTCAAGTGATTTCTCACAAATCGTTACACGGCGAAGTGGAGAACCATGGGGGAAAACATTGTCTAATTGTATATATTTTTTAAAGTGCACTAGATTTTAATGGAAGCGATAGAGTACGAATAAAAGTGGTTTATGATATGATAATTTCATAATAAAAAAGGAATTTTAAGAGGTTATATATGAGACAGTAAATGGGGTTTAATTAAATATGATATATTTGAGTTTATAGAGTTTTTTATTTATATTTACTTAAATCATAAAATAAATATGGAAACCTTAAAGTACAATTCAATTAATCAATTATCTTCTGGATTTATTTATCTTTAAGCTCATTTTCTGTGCTTTTTCCAGGGTATTCTTAAGTTCGTGACCTTGCCCATTATTTTTTGTTTACTCGCCATTTGTCATTCAGCACTTGTTTACCTTTCGGTCAGCTTCTATTTGATCGACTTGCCTTCGTTTAGCTAATTTATTTATTCACTTATGAGTGCGGATGTCCCAATGACACCAAGTTTAATGAATGCCAAGACATTTCCAGAATGCCAAGTAGTTGCATTTTTCGATCGATTGATCGAATTAAGGCCTGTTATCGCCACTAATTGAAGAGAGATCGATTGGACCTTACATAAGACCCTGATTAGATGGGGAATTAGTCACCGGCAGAGGCTGATTTAGTTGGAGCTTCCGCATTGATACTGCTGGTGATGTTATTTTTTGTCAGAGTTGAACTGAAACTAAAACTGGATCGCCTCGTCGAGTTGCTAAACTAATTGTTCTATTGTGCAAATTACCCATAATTGCACATGCGTCGCAGGCCCGAAAAAAGTGAGACAATTAAAGCAATCAGCACTCGACTCACATGTCACAATCAGCAGCAGAAACGAGCAAAGAGCCAGTAAAAATAATAATAAACACTTTATATAAATCAGATTAACACTCGGGGACTTTGGGAAATGGGATTTTCCAGCTTACATTTTACTTTTTTAAAGGGAAATAGGCATTAAAAATATTGTTGCAACAATTATTATTATTGCAATGCGAGCTGGCACTTTACACAATTCGCTTTTTATCAGAAGAATAATAAATTATTCATTGTAAACCTTGAAGCTATATGGCAATTGGTTAGGGAAATACATACCTTATTCTTAGAAATAATAACTAGTTTTATTTCTACTTAAATTTAAGCATTTTTTTTATTGAATTTACAGCATTTAAAAACATTAAGCTTAATAGGCAAGCTCCAGGATAATCAAATTGTGGAATAAATATTAAAGTGCAAAGGAATCTGTTTATCTGAGAGAGATAGTTCCCATCGCCATTCCCATTTTCCATTCCCATGGAAATTTTCCCCTCGGCAGCTGCACTTTCGATAAGTTTCCGGCTGGCAAACACTCGCCTGATATTTTTTGGCTTTTCCGTTGTTTTCCCCCGGCAGAACTTTGCAGACGGGTCCAAGGCAGGTTGCTCATACGCACAGTTGCACCACAAGGCTGTTTAGAGGGGGTGGAGTTTCCTTTTCCAGTGTGTTTTTGTGGCCTTTCCAGGAGGTGGCTAGCAAGCGGGATCCGACAGTCATTACCGCCAAAGTTTTGTCGGCCAACGTACTTTCGAGACAGCCATCTCATGGGCATCGAATTATGACACTTTTAGTGGTTTCTGCTAACTATGCGGGACACAAGGAGAGCAGAGGAGAGGTAGCTCTGGCATGCTAGCGAGAAATGGCAACAGGACACGGAGCAAGGAGCAGAGAGAGAGAGAGAGAGAGAGAGATCCCGGCGAGGGCAGACACAGACCCAAAACTGTCTTTGTATTTTAGCAAGTTTTGCCTTTTGGATTTGTTTGCAACTTTACTTCGATTTCAGGCAACACAAAACTTGCAGGACGAAGCAGATCCTTTCTGGCTTACAGTTTCACGGGAAAATCAATTCAAAATCGCCTAAGATTTTGTGAATTGTTTAAAAATATATGACGGATTAAAAATTGTACAAAATATATATTTTAAAAATATTTCTAAATTTAGTTTTTAAACCCCTAAACTGCAGAATTTGCTTATAGTTTTGCCCCGTCTTTGCACAATGTTTCGGTTTTTGTTTTCCGCTGCTGCTGCTGCTTCGCTTCGTGTTCCTTGCTTTTTTACTTAAAAGTTTATCAATAAAATTATGACAGAAAACTTTTTAATTTGACGCACAATAGTCGTAGATACGAACCCGCATGCGTTCGGGGACGCACTGCCTCTCGTCCCCGTGGTTTATTCGATTCAGTTGCAAGTAGACAAACAAATAAATAGGAAAAAAATATATAATATATGTATGTATATGGGGGGAATAAAGTCATCAGCCTATCACAGAGATAACATTCAGGCACGGGGGCGTGGCTCAGCCCTTGAGGCTCTTCAGCTTGTTCTTCTTCTCCACCGCCAGGCTGTTGGCGAACTGCTTGTCCGCCTCGGCTTTGTACTCGGCCAGATTGTAGTTTGTGGCCTGAATGGAAAAAATATGGGGTAAACAAAGAGTACACAAAGAGAAAAAACTGTTGGTTATATTTCTATATATTATTTGGTTTACATTAAGGGCGGTGTTGAACTCCTTCATGGCCAGCTTCTGGAGTCCCCGGAAGTTCCGGCCCAAGATGCGGCCCAGCTCGTAGCGGGAGATTGTAAAGGCTGTGGTGGTTTCCTCGCTGGTCTCCTCGCTGCTAAGTGACTGTGGCGATATATATAATATATAATATAATATATATATTTAAAGGTAAGTTTTAAACTCACAGTCTTTTCGGTGGTGACCCTGGGACTACTCGTAGGCTTCTCTGGACCCGGATCACTAAACTGCTCGTTGACCACATTGTAGATGTCATTCAGGGTGTTGCGGGTGTCTGTGTATTGCTTAAAGTTGCGAAATAAACAGAAATATATATAAATATATATAAAATATAGTATTCATATAGAATATATGGTACTCACATCCACAATTAGGTTCTTGGTGATGACCATTTTCTGGAAAAAGTCCCAAATGATGCCACGCTTGTGTCGCACATGGGGCAAGTCCTTTGAGCTTTGATCGTGAGCCTCTCCTTGAACCAAGATCAGGCTCATGAGCAGGATACCAGCAATCAGCATACTCTTTTGCCCAACAAACTGCATTCTATATTGTATATATATAATGTATATAAATAATATATTTTGTAGTGCCCCTTTAAGTGATTAATCCTTTGCAAATTGCATCGATCAATGGCAGATTCTGTCATCGTGCCAGTGAAATAGCGACAGCAATAGAAGTGACCCGCCCCCACAGAGACAGTGCATAAATCATGTTTGGTGACAGCTCAGAAAAAAAGGGAAAAAGAGAAACTGAAATGGAAATTGGAGCGGCGAAAAGCGAGTCCCAATGCGAAACAGAAAACAACAATAATAAAAGGCGTAGAGCTTCGGCAAAACAAAGGGAAATGAAACCAGACAATACTTGCACTCAGAATTTGTTGTTATTTTTATTTAGTGAAATTAAGAGTATAAATAAATAAGCAAAGACACTTGTAAAACCCTTAAGGTAACACTTATTTTTCTCAGGTTTTTTCACCTTTTTCTTTCATTTCTTAGACGAATTTCACAACCAATTTGAATGCTGTTTAAACTAAAAAGCAATGGTAATTGTCTCACTGACTCAAGTGGCGATGAAAAAGTGTTTTCCGCTTAGCATAATTGCATTAGTTAGCGCAGCGCCTGAAAGTATGCAGTTGAAAGTACGGGACAATCGAATTTGCAATATTTTGTCATCTTTTGGGACGCTAATAAAACTCTCAGCTCGGTGTAAAATTCACATTTTCCCATTTTCCCAGCTTCCCCTATTTTTTTTCTGTTTGTTTTTAATGCGCGTAATTAGGAAAACTGCACAAGTAGCTTAATAAATTTTTACATTTTAATTGCATTTTTGCCAGCGAAACAGAAAAAAACTGCAAATATTCAAAATAGCATTTATTGTGGCTCTGTATCCGTGTTATTGACACAATTCGGTCGGCCGTGTGGGCTAGTGTTTGTGTTATTTAAGCCCCTCTGGGCTAAAAGAGTTAATAGAAAACAGCAATTGGCCGCGGGTAAAAGGCCAAAAACTGTCCGCTTAATTGTTTGCCCATAATTTCCAATGCAATGTGAAAATAATTTAAATTATTTCAATGCCAAAAACAAGAGAGAGAGAGGAAAAAAATGATTATATTATTATTATTTTTGCAACATTTTGCTGGATTTTGTGCCCGATTATGTCGCAATTGAAAATGCAATGACCTTTTTTAATGGAGAGGAAAGCAGGCTATGTAGGGGGTGGAGGAAAAAGCAGCATTGATGAAATTATGGTCTGAATAAAATTCACAAAATATGTAAAGCACTATGGAAATTATTATTTGAATGTTTTGTATGTTTCCATTTCAATTTTTACATCTCCATAGAGGTGGCATATCACTTTATTTTTTCCCGATTACCATAAATTATTTGTTCTTTTTATTGCAATGATTTATGCTTTTTTCTCAGTGCTCTGCTGAGGGACAATAATGAGTGAATGAATTTGATTGGATCGCCGACCATTTGTCCATATATCGGCGGAAAATCTGATTGATGAGGGGTACACACAGAAAAAAGAGAGTCTGGGTAACTTCTAATACAAATATATTTGTATATTATTCAACTAATATATTTTAATTGTAAACTTAAGGTTTATACAACTCTTTTACTAAAGGAATTCTGAATACATTTAAGAAATATATGCATCAGAGGGTATTTCCTGCTTCGAATAACCAATATTTCCCCCATGTATTAGCTCGTTACCTTGGCAACCAATTTTCGGACCCATCTCCCTCTCTTTCCTCCCTCTCCATCTGCTTCCCTCGCACACATATGTATGCATGCATGACCCGATATTGCTGAGCGGGGAAGTCAATTGCCTTTGGTAGACAATCGTTTGATGCTTTAATGCTACTCAAGTGCTCAAACTCTTTTGCCAGACGAATGATGATGCAACAACAACAAATGGCAGCAAAAAAAAAAAAAAAAAAAAAACAACCCGAAGCTGAACGAAAAAAGCACTTGAAGTGAAAACTTTTGCTTTTTCGAGAGCGTTCTATGTTCTCTCCCCTTTCTCTCACTCCCTCCTATCAAAAGCAGTGCCATAAAAATGCATGGCACACACACACAGGCACACACAGTGGAACATATGCATATCCTTATTCCCATAGATTGCCTGTTGTAGCGTACGGCAATCAGCAGGAAAAGCAGAAGGAGCTCCATTCCCAAAAAATAGGGAGAAAAACGAGAGAAAAAAAACGGTACATATAACAGACAAACATTTCATTGAGTTGAGTTGTGAGGAAAGTGGGGGAGAGGGAGGGCTTGGGGCTGCTCTTGAGCTGTGCAGAGGAGCATCTTTGGAGCAAGAGTTCTGGCCCCCTGCATCCTTGCGGAATCGCCGCATCTCTCAACTTCTTTTAGCATATGAGCAAAGTGATTGCTTAATTGCCAAAATTCATTGCACAGATTGATGGGGAGGCGGAAGAGGAAGGATAAATGGGTGGCAAGTGAGAAAATGGCAAAGGAAATCCTTTATGGAAACGGGTTACCCAAAACTCTGATCGATTGATCGGTCATAATAGCAACATCTTCAAGAAAATAATACAATACTAGAATATAAATAAGGCTTATTTAGTATAAATATTTGTAATAAATAGTTTATTATTAATTTAGTTAGTTATAGGACTTAAAAGAAATCCCTTAACCAATTTTTACTGCTTCAAGCCAACCCTAAAACAAGAAAGAAATCCTTGACCGAAATCTGTAACTGTTGTTCTTTGCCTTGGCTTTTGCTGTCTTAGCCAAGGATACTCTATCTCCCTTCCCCTCTGCCCCTTTGCTGATAACCCGTTGCACTCATCCGTTTTATGGCCCTCCCTCTCTGGCAGTTGCTGTGTCTCCCACAAGGTTTGTCGCCTGTCGCCATCCCGTTTTAGCCAGGCGCTGTTTGCTTGGGCAACTTTGTCACCCGCTCTCTCTCTCCCTCTCATCTAAACTTCCTTTTTCTCCCTCCTCCCTCCACCCCTTTGGCACTCTCACCTGGCCGATTGTTCTTCTTCTCCGCTGTGTTGTCATTATCAGCGTCTTGGCTGTTATTGTTATTCTTGTTGTTGCAGCCGCTGCTTGAGCATTTTAATTATGCCCTAATGGCGCATAATAGCTGTCCCGCTTCCACACCCACTTTTCCTGCTGACTCTCATTACGCTTGGACTAACGGTGCATTGGCATTTTTGGGGCGCCTCGCTGCCTTTGCCACCAACTTTGTCCATTTTTCGACTAGATTTTCAGTTCAGTTTGCCCGTTGCCCTCTACTCTTCCCCTTTTACTCTTGGTCTTGCTCTTGCTTTTACTCTTCTTCTGCCACTCCCACTCTCTTCTCCCGCCTTCGCTCTTTGTCTTCAGGTAAATTTGCACTGGCCCGCAGCTGGGCAAACCCTTTTTTCCACTGCCCAGATACCCTGTAAGGAGAGCAATCAAAGAATGTGGGGGATATTGGCTAGATTAAATCTTGAGTAAGATCTATTTTTAATATATTTTTAATCGAGTTACTTAGTTTTATTTAAGAGTCTCTACTTCAAGCTTACCAGAATACTGTATCAAGTTTTTCAATAAGTATACATACATATACATTTTCAAAGGGTATTGCCATGACGTACATATACCCCTAACTTCGCTCTTCGCCTTATGCCTTTTTGGCTTCTTCCACTATTTGGATGATGGCATTGCCCAACCCGCTCGGTCCCTCTATTTTGTCCCTTTCTTCTTCATTTTGCTTACTTTTGTTACCAGTTTTTCGGCAGTTCTCGTTGCACTTTTGTGCACGCTTTGATTATTTTATTGCCCATCCCAACCCACAAAAAACTCCACTCCACTCCCTCCTCCCTGTTCAAACTTCATTTGAAATTAAAACTTTTTCGGCTAAGAGGGAGATGGGGGGTACGGAGAGTGGGCGACTATCGCATTCTTGATTATGTTTTCCAACTGGCTCATCAACTGGCCAACAAAACTTTGTAATTATATCAATGAGTGCCGGCCGCAGGGAAATTCGGGGGTGTGGACGAGTGGGGGGGCTTGGGATTTAAATCGCACTTTCCGTTGGCTAGCCAAAAATCAATCAATTTTCGTCTCTGCTCTCAAAATATTTTTGCATGGCATTTCAATTAAATTTGATTTGATTTGATTTGATGCAATGCGAAGCAATGCAACTGGATTCGATTCTCAGAGCTCTCTCAAGCTATTGGTCTTGTACACTGCAAGAAATAATCTTTGGAAAATTGCAATTATATTGTTAAGTCATAGGAGGGCACCCAAGTGTTTTTTTAGCTCTTCCCGTCCTTAAAGAAGCAGACCAGTTATATTTAAGATCTCAAGTTCTAATGTGAATCGTTTCCTTTTTTCGGTGTACGTTACGTTCCCCACTTTCTTCCTTTCCCTCTCTCTTTGCGAGTGTGGGTAAACACACTTGCACAAAGACATATGAAGAGAGGTAACGAGAAGCCAGGGGAGAGCGGAGAGAGAGAGAGGATAAGGAGTTTGTGGGCAAAGTGACGATGTGCCTGCCATATCCCTGCCAACCATTTGGCGATTCTCGAATCGCCGGTCGCCAGAAAGAGTCTTCTGGGAGTCGCTTTGGCGATTGCTGGAGGACTTATTTACAAAAATCGCCAAGAAGAGTCTTCTGCGAGTCGCGGTGGCGATCATTGGTGAAATAATTTTCGAGAATCCCGAAGAAGAGTCTTCTGGGAATCGCGGTGGCGATTGTTGAATGACTTATTTACGAAAATCCCCAAAAAGAGTCGTCTGCGAGTCGCTTTGGCGATTGCTGGACGACTAATTTACGAAAATCCCCAAGAAGAGTCTTCTGGGAATCGCGGGGGCGATTATTTGGCGATTTTTTTAGCGTTAAAAACTAGGAAATGAAGGAATGAGGGATTAAAGTACCGTACATAGATGCAAAGCAGAGAATGCGTCCGAAAGCAAAAGAGTTATACAAAAACAAATTGCATTACATTTGAGTGAGAATAGGAGTAACAACCGAACGTCTTTCAATATTTCTGTGTTCATTTAGTCTGACTTCGATCTTTTGTCTTT